TACCTATAGAAGCCTTTCCTGTTATCTTTCACATCCCTTGCCAGATTTAATTCTAACTTGGCCTTAGCTTTTCTGACCTGGTCCCTGGCTTCCCAGACAATATCCCTGTACTCTTCCCAGGCTGCCTGTCCTCGCTTCCATCTTTTATAAGCTTCTTTTTTTACAAGCTTCTTTTTTCCCTCTAAGTTTCCTCAGCAGCTCCTTTTCCATCCATGGAGTTCCTTCCAGACCTCATCCATCCATGGAGGTCTCCTGGCCCTCCTGCCACATTTCCTTCTAGTCAGGATGCAACACTCCTGAGCTTGGAGCAGGTGATCCTTGAACATCAACCAGCAGTCTTGGGCCCCCCTGCCCTCCAGGGCTTTATCCAATGAAACCTTACTAAGCAAGTTCCTGGAGAGGCCAAAGTCTGCTCTCCTGAAGCCCAGGGCAGTGAGCTTGCTGCATGCTCTTCTCACTGTCCTGAGGATCTTGAACTTAATAAAGAATGCCACTTCCTTTATGTGAGAATGCATTCAGGAGGTCCTATTTTTAAAAAGCATAGCCGTTGTTCTGAAGAGGATAACAACAATGTTAAGCTGTATTCCAGCTTCTGTAGCCTTTAGATATGTGTTTATTAAAATAGTTTGTTCACCTTGAAGTGTTCTTCAGCCATTCCAGTACCATGGAGGCCAGGAGGACAGTGAGTTAGTTCTAACTCCTTCAAGGCTTTAGAAAGCTCAGGCTTACTGCTGAAATTATCTATCACATTTCCAATAGCTTTCAGGATAGCTGTAGCCTGTTCTGTAAACCGATAGCTCTCCTGGAGAGAGAATAAAACCAACCATTGTTAGAAAATTGCTTTAAGGCTGTGGCAGCATACAAGCATTTTTTCTGTGATGAAGTACTTAAGTAATGCAATTGTTATTAAATTTATAAACTGTAAAGATCAATTGTATCTCTGGTATTCAAAAGCATACAAAATTTTCACTGATTTTAGCTACTGAAATAAAAACATTACAACACTGTAACTGGCACCATAACATATACCTGTTACAGATTTTATTTTTCCTGTACCATTAGCCCTAGGACATTCAATACAAAAGAAAATGCATGTAGAGACTTTCTATTGCAGTGATAAGAAGAGTCTTCTTAGCTGAAATATGAAGCATCTCTTCTACTATAAGAGGACAGATGCGTATCCATATCCCACTGAAAACAATGTCCAAATACATGCTCCTAAAGCACCATTAATCTTCATCAGGATTTCTGTGCAAGAATGTGGACACTTCCCTGCAAATGATACTCTACAGAGAAATCACTGTTTTCAAGAAGTGCAGAGTAGACCTGAGGATAAAATTATGCGTTATTGTCTTGATGAGGAATAGCTTTTCATCCACAACCTGAAGACAAGGGGATAGTACAGCCACAAGACGTTTTTAATGGCCTAACTTCTTATATTTAAACTTCTTTGCTATAATAAATTTGCACAAGCTGCTTTAATGTCCTATTATTAGTACCCTGAATCTACACTGCTATGTAAATTTGCTGTTACACTTACCTTTTAAACTATTTTTGCACAACTGTGCTCTAGAAGCTATACTCCTTCCTCTCAGTGCCCATGACATATACTTGGGCCTACTGCTTGCCAAAAAGATCTTGAAAATATGGATGACAGTGATATCTGTCTGGATTGTAGGCAACAAAGAACAAAAGCTATAGTAATTACTCCCCTGGGCCTCTCATCTCAGCTATGAAAGATGTCTGAATCAGTTGCTCATTTTAGATACAAAAGCTGCTCTGGGACCCAGTGAGTAATAGGTGATCTCATGGGACAAAATAAACTTTACTGATGTGACAGTTTATTTTCCTAGGTGGGTGTTTTTTTTAATATTAATTAATATCTGTACGTGTATTTTAACACTTTTACCACATGCCTCAAAAGAGAGCTTATACGCTACCTCTGATGTATTTCAACAAGAGCTCTTTTAACATTCCATTTTATGTCGCTGTTCTATGTATCCGGAATACTATCCAATGCTTACTTATATATTTGTATAAGACAGTTGTTGCAATAACCATCTCAGTGCCTGCTGTACTGTAAAGCACATTACTTCTATGCACTCATCCATTTCATATTGAAATTAATAGTATGTCATTAAAATATAGCAACTATAAATGAAGATCGAAAAGTACTTCATTTTAAAACTAAGTAATAGTCAAAAACACCATTATCAAAATGCTTGATTAGTTCTGGTTATGCATACCTTTTCAAGACATGGTATCACTATATCTTCTTCTCCAAACACACATGGCACCATGCTACACAGATGAATATGGTGCCCTATGGGAGAACTTACTGTGAAGAGCAATATATGTCGCCTACATTCAATCAAAAAAAAAACAAAAACAAAAACAAACATACAGCACCTTAAAAAAAATAAAATAAAAAAAATCACAGCACTTCTTAAGCTTGTCTTTTCATACATTTGATTAAAATGAAATCCTTTCCTAAATGTCTGGCTCTTCAAATCCTGCATTTCTAACTCTTTGTTTCTCAAGGACCTCCAAACACAGCAGTAAGTATGTAAGCAGAGAAGACACTATTATTTTATTTTTATTTCTTTGTTTAGGGTTTATTTGTATTTTCTTTAGCAAAATAGGTAGCTTTGCTATTTTAGATGGATACAAAAGTCAATTCATTCTTGTTTTGCCTGTTCGTATCCTATAACGGATTCCAATCATAAAATAAACCATTCCTAACTATATTTATATCATATAGTTGTATATACATATAAAA